CAATTAATTTTACGATTTTACCGTACACACACTTGATTATACGTATTTGTAGACAAATTGTATTTACCAGTATTAACTATCTTCTTTGTTGTTTATTTAGTTGTTGTACCACTTGAACACCATTGCTTACACACTATACACATATATATTCCTTATAAAAGTACCAAAAAAAAAAACTTTATCTTTATTGTTGCGTACTCTACACCCAATTTTGTTACCGAACTAATACGTATTATACTTTGCTTCAGCACAATAGCTGAAATTTTTTCTACTTATTAACAATATTAACTATACAATTAAAATATATTTTATACATAGTATATATTTATTAAATGAAAAGCTTTTATCTCTTATTAACAGATCGTGCCGAATTTGGTGCGCATACTTAAGAATCTTATACTGGGCGGATACTCGCCGGAACATGATGTGAGCGGTGTTAGCGATCCGTTTTTGCAAGTTAAAATACTGCGCCTGCTACGTATACTCGGACATAACGATCCAGATGCTTCGGAAGCCATGAATGATATATTAGCACAGGTGGCAACAAATACGGAAACAAGTAAAAATGTTGGCAACACTATACTGTACGAGACTGTGCTTTCCATAATGGATATTCGGTTAGTATAGAACTATTTCTATGCAAATAGAAATAGTGAATAGTAAATATATGTAATATAACATCCCATATTTAAAATTATAGTTCGGAAGGTGGTCTACGTGTTTTGGCTGTTAATATACTCGGACGTTTTTTGCTCAATTCGGACAAGAATATACGTTATGTAGCACTGAATACTTTGTTACGTACTGTACATGCAGACACTTCGGCTGTGCAACGTCACCGCACCACAATTCTAGAATGTCTCAAAGATCCTGATGTTTCGATTAGGCGTCGGGCTATGGAATTGTCGTTCGCACTTATAAATGCACAAAACATACGTACCATGACCAAAGAGTTGTTATTGTTTTTGGAGAAAGCGGATGCAGAATTCAAGGCGCAGTGCAGTTCAGGCATGATATTGGCCGCTGAACGTTATTCACCAAACACACGATGGCATTTGGATACACAGTTAAGCGTATTAATAGCGGTAAGTCATGAAGCAAATATATTGTTTTATTCAATATTCAATATGATGCGTAATTTTTTTAGGCTGGCAATTATGTGCGAGATGATGTAGTGTCTTCAACAATACAATTGGTATCAAGTAGTCCAGTGGTTGAACAAACTTATATAACAAATCGTTTCTGGGAATCTTTACAAGTTCCAAATCATTGTGAAGACAAACAACCACTGTTGCAAGTGGCAGTGTGGGCAATTGGCGAATATGGAGATCTGTTTATGTATGGTCCAAATGAGGATGGTATGTAGAATATGAAATAAAAATAAATACTTATGTTTTTAAATAATTTTAATTTGTCTTTTCAAGATTTTGAACGTCCAACTGAAAGTGACTTAATCGCAATGTTTCATAAATATTTAACTTCTGCTCAAGTATCAACTACAAGTAAGCAATATGCCTTAGTGTCGCTAGCTAAACTAAGTACACGTTTGCAGAATTGTGTGGAGTATGTATTAATAAATCTTATTAAAAAAATACTTGTTTATAAGAAGAATATTTTTTTTATTTCAGCGAAATTCAAGCACTTATCACTTCGTTTGGTAGCCATCTGAATGTGGATCTACAACAACGTGGCGTAGAGTTTACGCAATTATTTCTCACTTATAAACATTTACGTCCACCATTGTTAGAAAAGATGCCACCAATGCAGATAAGCCGTATCTCATCGCAAAATGGTGAAAGTAGCGGTTCATTTGATGACAATAGCCCGGATCTAATCGAAAATGGTTTAGTTGAAGACCAGTTACCGCACGAAAATAATATGAACACAATGAGTGATAACACAGTAAGTATTTTAAATACAAGTGTAACATTTATTTAATAAAACATTTAACATACTATTCAATATTTTCTCAGAATATATTACTGGATTTACTTGGTGGGACAGATATATCAAATACCGTTCAAAAAGAGAATACAAAGAACGCCAACGATGTGTCGAACAATCAAGACTTCCTTGATTTATTAGATTTGGATTTAAATACAGGCGCTGTAGCTGTTAATAATACAACAAATGTGTTGGGAACTAATGCAACAAATATAAACAATGTATTAGGATTATCAAGTTTAACGGCGACAATACCAACGAATGGCAACGATTTAACAAGTATTTTATCTGGCAACGGTTTGGTCAGTGTACCAGTAAATCTGTTAGAGTCTAACAATATACTCTCACCATCGGCGAATGCGTCAAATTCATTTCTAAATGAGTTAACTTCCCCCGCCAACCTACTGTGTAGTAGTATTGCTATAGTATGTATATTTAAATATATTTTGATTATAATATTTAATGTTTTTTCTTATTAATATTTGACAGAATCAAGCGCCCAAGATCACTGCTCTTGATAAAAATGGTCTACTTGTTCATTTAGTTCCACTTAGGGTCAGCGACACCATACAAATCTTTATGACAACAACAAACAATTCAAAAAATATATTGGAACAATATCTATTCCAGGTAATGTACGCTATACTTATATATCTTTATAGTGTGTACGTACACTCGCATCTAAATGAAATCTGCATAACAATTAAATGGAAATTTGAAAAAATTTTGAAACGAATTAGGATAATCCACTTTGATGTATTTATCTTTAGAGGTTTCTATTAGATTTGCAAATGTTTTTTAAGTTGATCGAAGCTTCGACCATGTTAGTGTCTAAAGTGTCCTTATTATTCGGAATTCCCGAATACACTTGAGCTGCTCGAATATCCTTTATTTCGAACAGTTTGCATTAATTATTATAATTTAATATTTAATAAAAATAAAGTAATGAATTGTTGCTTATATCATTTACGATATTGAAAGCTAATTAAAAATATTCTCTATTTTAAGAACTCATTGTAATAACCTTTGAGATATGCTGTAACCTTAGGTTGGTTGTACTGGTGGTCTTACCAAAGCATACTTGACCACAAATAATGTGGTGTAACCTTAGAAAAAAGTAGAAATAATACTTAAGTTAAGTATTTAAGTTCTCTTTTTACTAAAGGATTTAACATTTATTTGACACCTTAACCCGAATATTAAACACTTAAAAGTTATTATATTTACCTTAATTTTGCATTTTGACACTTAGTTCATTAATATATCTTGAGATATATTTATAAAAGCTTTGTTTCGACAAATCAATGATTTTATAATACAAAAGTAATTATATTATTTAAAATGTGTTTTATGTTTTTAATGTGTTAATTTTTTTGTTTTAGGCGGCAGTTCCTAAAAGTTTTACATTACAAATGTTATCGCCTTCTGGATCAGACTTACCTCCTGGCGGTATTATAACACAGGAAATGCGTGTTGTTAGTACGTCCAAGGTAGATAATTATAATAATTTTGTGTGTTTCATTTTGTATTAATTTTAAATTTATACAATTTTCAATGACTAGGCTATTCTTCGTATGAGACTACGCATATCATATGTTGTCGATGGCCAAAAAATTCTGGAGCAAGCAGAAGTAACCGGATTCCCAGACAATTCACCGGAATAGTAAATAATAATCAAAATATAAATACCTTATACTATATAACAATATAAATTGCGCAGTATATAAACTATAATAAAAATATGTATAATGTTAACGGAAAAGGAGCATACCAATAACCCATTACCATCCTTACCTACCTTAAAGCTATCACATAACATTTACGAAGACATGGAAGATAACTGCTATATACTTATACAAATAAATATTTATGTATTGTAATATATTTTAGCGTTTTAAACAATATTTTAGCAGCCACAATCACACAAAATATACACACGCATACATACAAACATTATTAAATTTAAATTACTGTAAAATAATTGTAATACAAGCGAAAAACAAGACATTTACAAAAATAAAAAACAAAGTGTATTAAAATTGTTGATAAATATATTTTGAAATTCAAACTTATAAATTAAATTGTATGTGCTAATTTATTTGTATTGGCTTGGCTTATTATTATTTATTTAGTATGACGTCATTATATAAATAGATAATTTGAAGCAATTGTAATTATGGAAAGACAAGTTGAAAATATAAATTACCTATCAGAATGGCTTTTATGTTGAAATTGCTGTTAATTATTTTTGGTATTCTTAATTATTCACTGTTTGTAGTTCGAATTAAGATAAAAATATTGTTGAATATAGAAATCTAAATTCATATAAATAAATTCGCATTTTATAAATATATTAATTTTTTTGTGTGAATACAGATTTATTGAAATAATAAAATAAGAAATATTTCCTGATGAGTGTGAAAATATTGTACGCATTTATATGTTAACCGTTTACACTTTTCATTTGTTTTTGTGTTTAGTGCATCTATATAGAATCTATGAAATTGTTTTAAAACATTTTAGTGTTTAATAATATGTCCGCGTTTATTTTTTTTTTTTTGCATTTATTTTTAATTTTATTTCATCTTTTTAAGCGCTATTGTACTTAATAAATCGAAAACTTTACTAACATAAATAAAAGAAAAATACTGTGGGAGAAAATAATAGATAATTTATATATACATAATAAAAACTTTTAGTTATATAAGTTATGAAAAAGTTAATATTATAAAAATATAAAAATTATAATTTAACAATTTATAATTTGAAAACATGAGCAAATAAAGTTTTAATAAATAATTATTTGTATACTTTAAGCTATTTATGTTTGGAAATAAGAGAAGCTTTCGAACATATCTAATGTTTATGTTCTGCGTTGTCCCAAACATGTTTAAAATGTTCTGGGACTCCATAAATATGGGTGTTAAAAGATGTTTTAAGAATCCACCTTCAAGCCTTCTTTAGATCCGCATCATGATGATGTCAACATTCATCATGATGCTGGCTACAAATCTGCGTAGATATCTTTCTCCATCTGGTATTGTTACGAACAAGTAGGTCTATCCAAATAGCATTGACCAAAAAGAGTTTTAATTATCATTAGGTTTTCAAATAACACTTTTGCTAATTTGGAAGCTTCGAATTATTATTAATTATTTTGCTACGTTGTTTGCGCTCATAAAATAAATGTATTTCTAGTTTTCTTTTCTTTGATAATTTTATAAATCATATTTTTAATTCTGATTTATTTTTTCAACAAAACAACCGTCAGATTCTCTAATTTGTATTTGTTCATTTTTAATCACAACGGACACCTGGTTTCTTTAACTAAAAATATATAATTACTATACACCTGATTTTTGGTTATAAATTAACACCGTCTCCCAGAGTATATTTTAAATGATTTCTAAGTGTCATCATTTAAACCTGTTTAAAGCTCATTTAAACCTGTTTAAAGTTCATTTAAACCTGTTTAAAGTTCATTTAAACCTGTTTAAAGTTCATTTAAACCTGTTTAAAGTTCATTTAAACCTGTTTAAAGTTTATTTAAACCTGTTTAAAGTTCATATAAACCTGTTTAAAGTTCATATAAACCTGTTTAAAGTTCGTTTAAATCTGTTTAAAGTTCATTTAAACACGTTTAATTATCATTTAAACATGTTTAAAGCCCATTTAAACGTGTTTAATGATCGCTTAAACATATTTTATTATTATTTAAGTGTTTTTGGATCATTTAAATATATTTAATCATAATTTAAATGTGTTAAATGATTATTTAAATGTGTTTAATAATCATTTAAATGTTTTTGGTCATCATTTAAGGGTATTTAATAACCATTTAAGCGTGTTTAATTACTACCTAAGCTTGTTTATCTTCATTTAAGCGAGTTTAATTTTCACTTAAGCGTGTTCAATTATCACATTTAAGCGTTTAATAATCATTCAAACTTGTTTAATGATCATTTATTGTTGTTACTGTTGTTATCAGAGTTATAAGGTATAGGTATATAACTATAATGAGATCATAAACAAGGAATGTTGTTACCTGTGAGGTTGTTGTTGTTGTAACATAAAGATATCTGTAAGATAAGAAACATTTCGAATCAAATGTAGCGGTTGGGATATAATAAAAGGGGCGTTATGTTGTTTCAGACAAATGAGTGTAAGTTGGATGCTAATTAAAGCTAGCCTCGGCAAAGCTGAAGGAATGTAACCATTTCTATAAGACATAACAAAATACAAATAAGACGTCATAAGGAGAAAAGCTGAAGTTTGAGAATAGTTGTGTTTATACGAGCCAAGTATAGAATCGGGTAAACCTGCTTACATCCACGATCGTATATATATCTCTTGCAGGACAATAATCTGCGTTATATCAAATTTTTTGTTAACCATTAACTAAAAACACTTATAAATAGATTAAAACTGTGTATAGTATTGTGAAGAATAAATATATTTTTTGAAATAATCATCAAAAAACATACTTTGTCTTAAAGAATTAAATATGTTCGAGCATACAATTTTAAGTCAGTTTGTCGAAGCATGGTAAAGAAGAAAATTATAAGCAATTGGTAAATCATCACTCCTATATCAATTTTTTAAGACAAAACTTTTCTTTTATATATCCGTTTACGCTAGAAACGGTAAAATAACCATATGTACGAGTGTCCTATAAAATTACATACTATAGATGATTCCGTTCTTCTGGCCTACATATATCATTTAATCAGCTTATCAGTAAAAAAAAGTATGAGCCGGTAGTGATATTCGATTTCAGTGATATTTTAGTTGAAATGGTAACTTTTTACGATTATTTTAATATATAAAAGTGTAGGATCTAGTTGTTATTGTGACCTCTATTAAATCACCATCTTTGCAAACGATAAAACTACAACTAAATTATAAACTATATAATTATAAACCGTGATTTACACAAAGTTATATAGTTCAACGTAACCATATGGAACAGTCATTTCCAATACCATATCTGCTAACATAGTATAGCTAAATTATTGGACGATAATACTATCGTCTTATTTAATTGTGCTGTTGTACTCGCAAGTCGTCTTATATAAATAATCCTGATGATTGATGAAAAAAGTTAAAGGAATACAAACAATGTAAATCATATATATGAATAAATAAGGATCAAGTACTCTATAAAATAAAGCGAAAAATTGACGTCTTTAAAGTGATTATTTATTGGTTTGCAACTGCGTAGATGTACATTTTTGACAGATCAAGACTCACCTGGTTCAAATTGGGTATTACTCGCACCAGTCAGCTTCTTTAACTAAAGTGGAACCAACTCACTACTACGATATTGGCGCAGATGAACTGTCAGTCATAACCTGTCAGCTATCAGTTATTAGAAAGTCATACAAGATGATTTGGTCTATTCCCTAACGATGTTTTTCTGGACTGTGATTCTGCGAATGAGAAAAATCTGTACTCCACTTCATGGCTAGTAGAAGATTCTTTCTGACCTGAAAAAGCTGTCATCGTTTGAAATTATGGATATAGACATAGTTAATAGACTCGTCAGATTGGTTTCTTAAACCTATCGATATAACATATAAACAGTTAAACAATAAAAGATGGTGTAACATAAGTACAATTTTATTTGATAGGGATGTTTCATATATAAAAGTTTCACATAATTTAAATACATAATATTCAAAAAATTTTTTATGTAACAAACTTTTAATAACGTATATATCACATTATGGCAGAATCACAGGCCATGTCATTGACTTCGGAATTTCAAATAACTTAGAATCGAATGTGCACGTAGAGGTCCTTGATGAACTGGACTCGGATCACAAACCAGTTCTTTTTATTCTTGAAAATTGTCCAGCAATCAACATGAATCTCACGTACATAACCACTAACTGGGACTCATTTAAGAATCAGGTTGATATTTCAAATATAAATAATTGGCCAGTAACTTCTGAGGATCTTGATGACTGTATCCAAAAACTCACTCTCAAGATTAAGGAGGCATTGGATAATAGCTCCACCACCAGGATCAGAAAACCAAGTAACTACTTTTATCTGCCGCATTACATCAAACAAATCATTAGACAAAGGAATGCGATTCGAAAATTTGCTCAAATAACTGGAGATCCTTTGAGAAGAAGAGAAGCCAATCGTCTCTCTAATGTAATCAGGAAAAAAATTGGCAAATACATATAATAATGATAAATGGTGCGAATTTCTTTCAGGAATTGATACAGGTAATAAAACCTTCTGGGCTTTGAACAAGTATTTTAGGCTTAAACGTAAACCGGTAGTGCCGCCTTTTTATGTAGCTACCGGCATGGCTTTCTCAGACATAGCCAAAGCTGAGGCCTTTGCAGATTCTTTGGAGCTGCAATTTCAGCCCAATACTGATAGTGACTATAATTCTCTGGTAGAAGAAAATATTGCCGAAGAGGCTGCTAATCTTAGGAACCTGATGTCAGATGAAAGCATCTCACAGTGTTCCAGAGATGAGATTAAATGTATTATTTTGAGTCTAAAGACCAGATCGGCACCCGGATATGATAATATCAGTAACAAATGCCTACGTAATCTTCCAGAAGATGCAATCCAATGCATTGTTAACATCATCAATTGCATGCTTAGGCTTGGCGAATTTCCAAAGGCCTGGAAGTTGGCCTCAGTCGTAGTGTTTCCTAAACCGGACAAGAATCCTTCATTTCCGCAGAACTGGCGTCCTATCAGTCTGCTCCCAACTATGGGGAAATTGGCAGAACGAGTAATTCTGACTAGGCTTAAAACAGCGGTAAATGCCCTAAATATACTTCCTGACGAACAATTCGGGTTTAGGGATAATCTCTCCACGGAACTACAACTAGCCAGAACTGCGCAGCTGATACAAA